TGAAAATGTAGAAAGAAAGAAAGAAAATGGAGGAAAGGGATGACGAGGAGGAGAAGATGGAGGAAGAAGTGAATTGAAAAGAGTAGTAAAGATAGGACGAAGGAAAGGGATAGATCTTTTCTGGTTGTATGTATTATATTACGTATATTACAAAAATGAAAAAAACGAATTTTTTCTCTTGAACTTTCCGTCGTCACTTTCAAAGGGCAAAGAATATAAAAGTACAAACGAATTGGAAAGAATTTATTTTTTTTTTACGATTCGGAAGACGGAAAGGAAGATGACGAAAAGGAAGAAGGAGAAGGAATAAATTTGGAAAGGTAACGTGATGATTTATCAATCGCTACTTTTCATATGGATTCTACCGTTTTTTTTTAGTTTTTGCTGTCTTGCATTTAAGACTGTTGAAGAGGTTTTCCTTTTTTGTTTTGTTTTCTTGTGATTCATTTCTTTTTGTTCCATTTTTTCTTGCAACTTCTCATTTCACACCTAAAAGTTATTGGAAAAGCATTTTGATTTTTAACAGTGGCAAAAAGGATAGCAGAAGCAGAAGTAATAGTAAAGAAAGAAGATTGAAAGAGGAAGGGGAGAGAGATTGAAGAAAGAGGGGGCGAAAAAAGTAGGGAATAGCAAATCTGTTTTGAATTGACTGCATATTGGTTTCAGTCTTATAAACTATACACGGAATTTTTGCTGCTGGAATATTTTCCTGCTGTCTCATTGCTGTGTTGCCACTTTTGTTGGCACTTTTCTTCATTTGTCTAATTTTTTCGAGAAAGGAAGAACAACAAAAGAAATTTGGGGGTTTATTAAAGACTTTTTGCTTTGTCTTTTTGGCTTTAGTAAAGTTTGCTAAGTTTTTTGATAAAAAGCGTTTAAAGGACAATTATCTGCATGTTGAAAAGAAAGGAGGAAAAAAATTCTGTAGATGAAACAGGCAGCGGTCATAGCAATAATAAAATGGTTAATTTCACCGTCTATTCATCCGTCCACCCAACCGACTATCCGTCCATCTGTTCACTCGTCTGTTCATTCATCTATCTGAGCTAACTAAGCAACCTAGTCGTTTTTTTATTTATTCACAATAACCATTTTTATATATTATGTGCTCAACTTTTCGACGTCTGTATTTACTTATTTTTTACTCGGCTTTCTGTTGTTGTTCTCAATTTTGCCGCTAGTATTTCAAAAAACAGAAAAGGGAAGGACACAGGGGAAGAAAAACGGAGGAAGAAATTACAGATATTGGTTTTTTTTTTGTTGAATTTCTATATATTTGCTTTCAGTTAAGTTACTCTAAAAAAAAAATGGGAAAAAAAGATTTTTCGGAAATGAAGAA